TTAATAAAATCCTTCTTAGGTAGGACAAATAATTAACGGTTAGAAATATGCTAAAGCGACAGCTAGCGTAACTATTAGACAGAAATTCAGAATTCCGGATGGTAGACCAATAACCCCAAAATAATACACAAGTTGAGTGTGATCTAGCTGAGTTTTATTTTTGTCTTCGCATGTATCTTATGTCTACACTTAACCAAAACCCGACATTACATCACAGCTTACAAATAAAGCATCAGGTCTACCCAATTGTGTGTTGTATATAATTAGTGCTCTATTTTATACAGAAACAGCAGCTTCCTCTGTTGGGCAGACACAAGATCCGATCCGGTTACTCTTGAGGTGTCGGTAATCACTAACCATGTGCCGTTGCCATGGTGCAAGGGCGAAATCAATGTGTGCAAAAAGGGAAGTATATATTTATATATAAAAGAAAGATATAGAAAGGGGAGGGGGAGGAGGAGGGGGACTGTAAGTTGCGGTGCCAAAAGGCGACGACGACGACGAACTGGGTGGACTCGATTTCCAACTCAACGCGATTTCGGCCCTCGGTAATGAAAGGAAAGGGAAGGGAAGCAGGGTGGCCAGAAACGCTCATCATCAGCACCATTACCTATGATTGCCTCGTATCTATCCTGGTTGAAATTCAATTTCTGCGCTGACAGATTGCGGTGGTGGCTTTGATTCAACCACGAGCTACATATTACACCCCCCCCCCCCCGCCCTATCTGAAGCTCCGACCTAGACTTGCCTAGCTTCACCGGACGGTTCGTCTCAAGGTTTCAGCTCCTCGCCGCACCCTGGATTGCCTTCTAACCATGACAAACAGCGCCTGAAACGACAATTGACTGCGCAGTAAAATTAAAACTGGAAAATTTGGAAATATACTTATATATATATATATATATATAAATGTGTGTGTGTGTGTGTTTTGCCGCATCGCTTGGAGAAGAAGAAGCCAACAAAGGGAGCTGTTCCGCTTTTCAAGAACTTATGTCGTTTCACCCGCCTTTCGGCTGACAACAAATCCCTCCAGTGCTCCATACTTGCCGACGAATCTAAAAGGTAAACGAGGCGCCAAGGGCGATTTTTCATTAGTACATTCTGACAACGGCGAGCACTCTGGATAGAACTTGGCACTTGATGGTCCAGATTCAGGTCTCGTGCCAAGGCTAGCGATCATCGCGCTAACCGCCCGGGGCTCACCGATGACTGGTAAAGTTCCAGTGTAAAATTTTCGCATTCCCACCGCATTAGTGACTGGTATGCCCAGCTCTCAGCCTTCGAAGTCCCCTTGTTGACGTACTTGACAACGTGTTTAAAGTCGAGATCTCTCTGTGTCGTGATCGCTTTCCAGCACTGACCCAATTGCATTCCCCGGCGCCATTCACTAGGAGACCACCGTCGAACCCAGTATCTTATCATTCATTTCTAGTTCTTCAAAGACCATTTGGTAACCTCGTAATCAGAGAACCTGATGTGGTACCCTGGAAAAGGGAAAAGAAATCACTAGGGGCTGCAAGCATGCAGCAGAGGTGATACCATCTTCAAAAACAGGTAGCTAGAAAATCACAATTCAAAATATTACCAGAGAATGCTCAGTTCAACTACTTGTAGAAACATAACTCAAACGAAACCAGCTAACTGTCACAAAGGTTGGTAGTTTGAGGCGTGGTTTCAACTGTAGAACTTCCTGAGACTTGGTCTTTTCAACGCTTGCATCATTCCTGCCAGCATTCAATTGTAAATTCTCCATATTGTCATGGTCTCCGTCTCTTCACTGGACGTGGGCCCCGAGGTTGGCATCCGAAATCCTTTAAATTGAGACACCACCGGCTCCCTCCTCATGCATTTGACATCTTCACCAACTCCTCCTATGAGTTTGAATGGCACGGAATTGATTTTGTACTTCGCCAAGTAGGGCCCAGTGTGACCGGTTTTCCTCGGACTGTTAGACCTGCTCCTGTATCCCCCACCAGTTTTAAAGGCTTCCGCATCGCTCAGTTGGCTTGTCTTGCGCTGCAACACTTGGGGCGTCGCTCAATCTGCAATGTTTCATGAGCTTGGTCCCCTCCACTCCCCAACTCTATTGCAATTTTTGGGCGTGAGTCAGTGTTTCTGTCGACTGGAAGACAATCCTGCAGGAGAGACGGTGACCATTCCTCCACCTTCAGTGCGGCTCATTTTCGTCAGATTTGTTGGACTTGTAAGGCTTATCGCCTAGCCACCTTGCCAGTATATCCCATGGTAGAAGAAGAAGAAGAAGTGTCGGTGACCCTTAGTGACAACGAGAGAGAGCACGCTGGAATGCTTTCACGCAATAAGCCTGGATGTGTTCTTGCGTGCCCTTTCCCGTTGTCGCCAACTATCTTGTCGATGAGTTCTCTCCTCCTATGTTGCATGGTCTGTGATACTTGGTGTGATTTTCTGTACATTTCACTCCACCCATTTCTCAGGGATTGAAGCCCAGAAAGTCTACTCAGAGGTTTCATGCTGTCGTTTACAGTCAAAAGGTGATCGAGGTAAAGTCGTGTTAATCAGTTGGCTAATTGTTGAAAAGCTTGGTTTCAATTCTTTCAATAATACTTTGTGGCCCTCTGTTTTCTAGAATGGAAAACATCTCCTCCAGGATTGCACAGATCTTCAAAGTGTAGTTGAAGCTAGAACCTTATTGAATCGTTGCTTTTGGGTTCACTCCAATGTTCAATTCTATTCAGCAGTGTACTTTTTCTGAGCCTGTGTTTCGATATAATTGAGTTTCTTTGATTCGGGAACTTAGAGCTCACTTGTGTGAGCACCCTTGTTGAGAGTGCCGAGTGAAATTATAACTGATGACGCCTCTCTCTGTCTCAAGGGCGTGCAGTATATGCTATTTATGTTATTTTACATGTGTGCAGAGATTATTGCTAGAATGGGTTCCTTCATGTCAAGATAAAGACCTTATCAGAAGTGTTGCAGCCAAAGCTGAAACTCTATTTCTTCGGATTGGTGTTGTTCTGTAGTCAGACTGCGTGGCCTTTGATTATGTAGTTTTGCAGTGAAACTTCTACGTTCAGAGATAAAGAGTGGAATTAGTATATTAAATGCTCAAAGGATTAGGTGCTGCACTACTGCTGAGACGTTGCAAGCTTAAAGGAGGTTGGTAACCGCTCTTCAATCATTCCTTCGAGATTGGATACACGCCTGTATCACACAGTTCTATCACGATTTGTCTGGAAGCATTCATTCAGGTTGCATGCTTTGATACTTCTGAAAGAATGAAGAAGAAAACTTAGCAAAGCACAACAGTTGCGGTCCATCTAGTTTTGCGGTCATGATCTTTGAATACAAACACTTTCATTCATTATTCGAAGAGTTGGTATCGTTTCTGCGTCAACCAACCCCCTTGTAGTAGTACCCTCTTTGCACGCAAGTGTGGAATGTCTGCACCTGAATGACAGACTTATTTTTCGTCGCATTCGTTGTCATCGTACTGAATTTTTTTTCTTGGCCTGCAACGCAAATGGCGCACAATAAACCAATCACAGAATGAGCAGCTCCAGATAGAATATATCGCAGTCGTAAGTTAAGAACAGAGATATGTGGAGGTATTTATATGCCGATAATTCGGCCTTTTTTATTTTAATTTTTCATATTGCTCATTGTTCACTAAACCAATTACTAATGGCTTACAGCTCACCAGCACAATACGCCTACTTTCACCCTCTCACAGACTGTGCAAAATCCTGTGTTGCAAGCCTGTAAACGAACCATCTGTAGAACACATCGTAGTATGGCATGAATGAAGTACTTGATACTAACGAGCAAGTGGTCAGTGGAGCAGCAGTCAATATTTTTGTTCCATTTCATGTAATGCAATCCTACAACTCGAAATTGCCCGAGTGGAAGGAAGCGTCGGCTGGTACAATATTGTCAGACACTCAGAAATAATAAACCACGTTCATGATTGTAACATAATCTGCGCTCGGGAACGCAAAGGTACGCCAATGACACCATTGTCTGCTGGCATTCATTTAGCTCTGAAGCAACAAGGACAAGCTAGATTCACTGTATATTTGAGGAGGCTAAGGACAGTACTTCAACTGTATTTTAGTGTGACAAATGAAGGACGACATATGGATCACAGCCTCAATCATGCAGCTTGCAACGTGATACCACGTTAGTGAATGTAGGCGATCTGAAAAAAAAAGATTTGTGTATCTGCAGCTCAGGCACTCGAGCCTCAGTACGCTGAGATAGTATAACTCGCTTCATGTGCCCCGACTGCTATTGCATCTCAAGCTGCGTTTCTGCTGTCTCGAATATCGTGATAAATGTAATCTGGCAGAAAAGTTCCTGTAGATGATTCACCTCAATACCTGGTCTCAAATGTGGGAGTACTGTCACTGGAATTTTCGAGCTGTTCATGAAAAAACAACCAAGACCAGTAGTTTTCAGTCTTTACTAGTGCCACGGTCCAATCTCTAGAATACAAATCGACGTACTCTCCTCGTCCTGATCAACACTGAATTATCTATATGTCACAACGAGTTCGGTCCGTCCACTTTCACACCAAAGCCTGATCAATTCATTCTTCTTAACTCCTTGATCATCCTGCATGGCGAAATTTACAAGAGTTTTCCACGGAGATATACAAGCTTCTGTTCGAGGAGATGCTTGCATTCTGAGTCGGTCTTTCTGGGATAATATCTGATTCGATACAACTAGAGCCTGAGATTTATGGAGAAAGTTTCGGAATTTTCACATTACTGGATGAGTGTTATTGCTCATGGAACCAAGCTACGAGATAACTGGATCTTATAGTTGGCAAGAGAACAATGAACCAATTCATAGGAACATATCCAAGCCTCAGTTTCAAACCTTCCTTCAGATATGTTCTTTATGGCCACGTCTCAAACTTAGGATCTGCTACCTAGACAAGCTCTACACAAAATTGCAAGCACACGGTTCGAAACTATCAACGTTCTCTTTAGTGCACAGTGACAAATCACTCAATATGATGCTCAATTTGAAAACAGTCGTATCGCATAATCTAATCAGGATTTACAACTCAAAAAAGTATTTTAAAAAACTGTGACTGACATGACATCTATACAATGAATTATTTCAAGACTAGACAACTGAAAAGCGACTTTGATGGGTATTCTACAGATCAATGCGCGTTTCAGAGAACAAAGAACTAGCTTTGCAAATGTAAAGCTTATCTTATAAGAATCGGAGCTACATTAGTGTACCCCACAATGCTCAGACTTCAACTCAGGCTTCAGAATGCCGCTGGTGTACACACTTAACTTCGCCGCTGCATCTTCAAAGCTCACACAGAAAATACTTTATAGGATTTCTACTTTTTGTGGCTCATACAGGAACTCATCTTAAACGGGTCATGCTCCAAAAACTAGGGCATAACTCCATGAAACCCGTCCTTCATGTGTTTTAGTTCCTCAGTGCCAGACAACAAGCCAGCACCGAACGCTCTAATCTCGATATCCTACTTCACTGCACCAAACTGTAAGGTAAACGGGTAGAGCTTCATACAATGTCAGTTATTCAACGGTCAGACTCCACGGGGGCCTAGCCGAGAACTCACGCCAAATAAGAAAACTCAGGACAAGCTAGCATGGGGACGTGACCTAAACCGTCATGATAGTTGCGAGGTTCTGGGGTGTACACGGAAATGCTGCCGTGACGAAAATAATAAGTTGAAAAGAACGTGCGGAAGGGTAAGCTGTTGAGGAAGTTACGAGAGTGGGGAAATCCTGACACTGGGCAGATATGCCATCCAGTAGTCTGTTCCAGCTCCCGCAAGATCACAACCAACTGAATAATTCAACAAACGACTCTACATCGAATCCGCAAAAACTGCAAGCAGGTTGAAAATCAGGATACAAGGTTTAGAGTCGTTCCATCCTATCCATCGGGGTTAGCAGGGAAGAGTTTGAACAATCCGAGAATACAACAAGCTAAGATTGTTGTTCACGTAACAGGTCTATTAAGCACACATCTAAACTAGTTTGTAGCAGGTTCCCCCAGTATTAAAACTGTGATCTCTCTGGATAGGTGAGGAGAATCACCAGATAGCCCACTGTAGGTAAAGTTACGGTCTGTAAGTGTAGGATGGTTACAGAACAGACAACCAAACTCCAGAATCAATGGACATATATGTGAGAAGGAGGTCCATGCAGTCTTAACGTTTAGCTTTTAGTTAGAAACAAAAGTTATAAAGGCACACTACATGCAGTCCATGACAGATTTTCTAACGAGATCCCTGTTCTATTTATTTTTTAATATCAGAATGCGTATTAATAGAAGACACAGTTGCGTAAAATTTATTCGGTTTGATGACTCAAAGTTAACATGGAAGAGAAGAATAATTATCACCTTTCAAAATATCGGACATGTTGAAGATGGTTGGGCCTGAAGTGGAAAACTTAGGGGTAATCCAAGAAAACCAAGCGTGAGAAGCGTAGAGGTCCAATAGAATTTCGAACACGAATTTCTCCTGCGGAATAGATTACCCTCTGCGATAATAATCCAATTGATTCCAGTTTCGAAGCAAAATTAGTAACCTTGCATATAGACCCTATTCTTTTAGTGGGAAAAAAAAAAAACAAACAAACAAACAAACAAACAACAACAACAATGATTTCATAAAATTCAATATGAAAAGCAATTACAAACTAGTTGAAAAGAAATTACAAGTAAACTTGAAAGTCATCTAAAGTTCGGAAAATTGGATTCAGATATTTCCTTGTACAAAAGGACTCCCAAACCTACTAAGAACAAGTGAAAATGGACATGCCTAAGTATAACAGGGCATGAAACTTTTGGCCAATGGCTGGCTGTACTAGAGTATTACGCAAAAATAGGCTTGCGAAGAGTCCAGGATGTGTAAAAGAAAAGCACAAGTTCATCCAAATACAATATATGGTACATATACACTGATGTTGGTCAAGATTATTATGATGTTTTTCACGAAAGGAGGATAATTTATCCGATCCAAGTGCTTGGCTTGCACGGCACTTGACTTAGTACGACCCACGAGGCAGGTTTTGCGTTAAGTACACAGGATAAATGTGATAAGGTATTCAATCATTAAGGCATTATTTCACTTGGATTCTAGCTTGAACATAAAATCTAGGGCACAATAAACTTGTATAGCCTCCTTGTTCAGGCTCCAGCAAATCTAAGACAGATTGTGGCTTACAGCGTGCAATAAAATATAGCACAAGCGGTGAACACTGGGAAGGCGGGGAGACACTTTGAAAGGTGGGCTGCATTCGCGTACCGAACATCACCGAATGTTGAGTCTTGGGTAACGTAGCCACCATAAAGCCAACATTCTATCTGTAATCAAGGAAAAATCTAATGCATGCTGCAAACAAATCTTTGACATCAAATGCAGTCAGGAAGGCCTGGCAATGCACACACTTCTCGTACAGTGTGCTGAACAGGTGCGCCGTTGTACTACACTATCATGATTAACTTTCCCAAAGGAGTTCTACCCTAAACAATCCTCAGTAATACTGAAAATCTTACACTTCTTTCGAGCCTGAACTAGAGAAATAATGTGCCACATGTTGATGCAGAACATGACCAGCTATCATGGTAATTGAAAATTATTTTCTACATGGGATGAGGAAAAAATTGCTTACCCTTCCTGTATCTTGGCAACGTCAGCAATATAGTTCTGCCTTTTACATTCAAGTTTCATAGCAGCCCTGCGAACAGTTAAATCAGATATCGAGAACATGGCGCCATTGACTTTTCCATTGAAATGTATATCCTAAAAATAAATAGCCACTAGTTAACACAAAGACTGGACAAAAGTGAGCCATTGCCATTATGCAACTCTTAATCTCTTGAAATAGGACGAAGGCCTAAAGTCTCAGTCTGAGTCTATAATCTCATGCAGACCCTATTCAGACGGACCAAGACTAAGCCTAGAAATAGAGGAATGCATGGGACAACTCAACTTACAGGATGATGACCGCTCAAAATCAAGCTCCGAAGCCAACAAAGTGATGTCCATTTGAAATATTCAAGATACTTCTGGTAATTGGTGGAAAGGATGTCCTGTCCGTCTTCACCCAGTGTTGTAATGGGAGTGCGAAGAAGTTATTAGAATTGGAAAACGAGAAATCCCAGTGGCAAGAACATTAAGTCAATTCGTCTGGCTATTCCTTCCGTTAGTACTGTGACAAATCTTCGTGACCCAAAGAACTGAACGTTGGGATGTAAATCAGCTAAATCCTGAAACCACTATTTCCTCAGTGAAGAGTATTTAATCACCTTAACCTAACAGGCTTGCATGAAATATATCTAGATCTGAGGTATCTCTTTACTATACATCACGCTTGTATGATGCAAATGGTTGGAAACTATTAGTCTATCACAGATAAGAGACGCTTGTTCAGTTACTGAGCGACAAAAACAATGTTCTGTTTTGTGCAAAGCTGGACGTGACTGTTCATACGATTGTTGCAGTAATTGACTCACCTTGTATCTGGTTTAGCCAATTCCTGCTTTAAAGACAAATTTCGATATACTGAAGCTGCTTAAATTTGAAGTTGCTGCAGGAAAATATTCTATCGTTAAAAACAGCCGATCTCTGGCTTTGTATGGGCGAATCATACTGTGCGATGATGCCTATTATGAAAACGGCGCGCTTTAGGGCTAGGAGATCATCATTACCACTTGGTCTCTTTTTGATCGCAGTCCAATAGAGTAAGCAGTTTACTTCCACCGCCATCCGTTAATGCCAGATCTTTCTCTCACCCTTCAATTCCGAATCTAGATCACTACACAGACCTCCAATTTCGCTAACTGCACGAAATGATAATTTCATCAAGCTAGGGTGCAAAACTGTAGAGGAACTGGTGTCAGACACACGGTCCTCTACGACAATAATATGATTGCAAGATGCAGAAAATCAACAACTTTAAAGAAATCAAAGAATGTTGGTTGAAACTCCAAACAAGAACGCTAAAATGTTCATTAAGAAATCGCGCTGCAAAGAGCGCCTGTGTCAGTAAAGAATGCTTGGTTTGTCGACATTCTCAGACAGCCACTCACATTCTCAAAGGCCGTAAAAAAGCTTATTTTGTATTCTAATTTTTCACGCTCGAGGATCGAGAGTGGTCATCCAGTCATATTCTAAATATAAGATGTATAGAAAAAGAAAATAAAATCTACTTGAACAGCTGGCACCCACACATCGCAGCTCCCCAACAAGCTCGACAATTTATTCGCTATACCAACTTGCTGGATGAGTGAACTTTTATGATCGTAAGACAAATAGTATTGTCTGTAGAAGTGGCTAACTGTGAGGATGCAGTTATTGGCAGCAAAAATCGACGAGAAACTAATTTGCACTGAAGGTGTCTGAAGAGGATACCTGATGGCTAACGCCACAAATGCACCCAGTGAACAGAACGCGAGCGTGGACAGCAATACGCGTCGTAACCTTCACGTACTGAGTCAACTTCCTCTTGGATCTCGATCAGCAGAATGCGCCACCTCTCAGTTATCTTCTTGCAAACACCAACCAGTATATTCTCTTGTTCCAAAACTTCAAATCTTAGTTCGAGCTAAAACCAAAAAAAACAGCAGCATACTTGTGCTACATAGCGAAAGATATTGATATCGATGAAGTCAGAAAGCATGAGATAAGATGAGATTCAAGGCTACCAGATCGCCGATGTGAAGGTTAGGGTGGTAGCAGTGCGAACGCACAGCTGATGCTAGAAGCTCCCACTTTATGACAATCGGATTAGAATCCATCTGCTACATGGGCAGCAATGAATTCAGTGGACTGATTGATCCGGCAGCACGTTGCCAGATGGCTCCAGAGCGCCACCCAGCTCTCTCTGCTTCACTACCCCATCTCTTCTCACACGGTCCAAAACCTCAGTTGTTCACAAGCAAAGTTATTGCCGCATCCCCAAGAGCAGCTAGCCCAGCCACGAGCTGCAACAGGTGATGACCGCATGCCTGGCCAAGCTAAGAGCTCTACGTCCCCTCCCTTCCATCCTTTCCTCCTCGCCACCGCGATCTATCCTCACGAAAAAACAACATAAATGCTCAAACAACACCCCAAAAAACAACAGTATTCAAAAATTAAAATGTTACATTGCGTCGGAAAAAAAAAAAAAAAAAAAAAAAAAACTCGCTTGCCATGGCCCCGTATCACCAAATACGAATCGCGAAAGGCTACAACGCTCTGAGAAAAAAAAAAATCACTGCCGAATTGCCAGTAAATGGCCAGAGTAAAACAAAATCTTTAAGACTAGACAGGAGGAATCAAGTACAAAACCACGATCCTCGAATCTAGCACAATACACAATTTAAAAAGCAAAGCTGCACTGACATAGAGTTGCTACAGCACCGTAACTCAACAGCTGGTAACTGATTAGTGGTTCGAATCCCACCTGTGACACAAGGAAAGTGTCTACCTGTACGGAAACATGTGAGTATGATGTTCTTTTTAAGGCCAAATATGCCACAGTCTTCTTCAGCACATCACATTAATCCATTACGTGGTGGGGTAAGGACTTCCCAGTTCTTTCCCAGTTTAGGAAATGCCATGGGGAACGGGAGGGAACGAATCCTCGTGTTGGTTCCCTTCCCTTCGAGGGCATGCTCGCCCTGCTACTCTCTCATCCGCATGTGAACGTTTCAACTTCCACATTGTCAAAATCTAAGATAAAACGGGGTTCACATGAAAAATAGCACACGTGGGGTTAGTTGAACGGCAATCAGAAATTTAATTGGTTGGGATGGTTTTAGGCTATTTTACATACCTTAATTTACAAAGAACACTTATATATATATATATATATATATATATATATATTTTTTATTTATTTATTTATTACATACATACATACATACATACATACATGCATGCATGCTAAATGTATGTGTAAGATAATTATAGTTGTATAAAAAAAATTATACAAATCAAATCTAGAACTTACAATATATGTAATGTCAAGTCAAATGAATTTATACAACTACATATATTGTAAGTTCTATGTATAAAGTAACGTCAAGTCAAATGAATTTTAAAATAATGTCAAGTCAAATATGATCTTAAAGTAGGTATGTGTAACCAAATTTCACAAAAATCATATTTTCTTTATCTCCATATAGATACTACCGATACAGATTTTATGCCAATTTTTTAACAAATTAATTACTATAATTTATTTTATTTTTCTACATTATAATATAAACAATATAAGCTTCTATTCAATGTGTGTAACTATTTTAGAAATTCTAAACTATATCTATTATTTTACTTAATTTTCTCATGTATTGTTTTAAAATACATTTTGCACAGATTGTACTTGACTGGTGCTCAGAATATGAAAATTCAAAATTTGACTGTAACATCAGATATTAAAATTCAAATAACTAGTAATTCCTCAATATATATGTTCATAAAGTCTCAATAACTTGTATATTCTTTAACACACAAAAAAAAAAAAAAAAAAAAAAAATGCATATGTATTCAAATCAATTAAAAATAGTAAAACCTAATATAAAATTTAATTAATTAAATAAATAATTATATATTCAAATATTCAAATATAATTTTAAAAATAATCTATAAGTCCAAAAATAAATTCGTGATAAAAAACATCAGTTCTTGCTAATTTATATGAGTGTTTTCAATATATAAGTATATAAACACACATCTAATTTTGTTATGGTTATTATGATTTTCTCTTCTTTATATAAAAAATAACTTGTCAACTTTAGTGTAAATTCTTTGTATTTTTTACTGAAAAGATTTCCAAATGAGCCTTGTCTGAATTGAAGTTGAGTCAAAAAATAAGCTTCTAATCTACCAATTTATTTTTTCTTTTTTCTTTTTTCTTTTTTAAATTCAAAGGTTATAAAGTCCTTAAGCTTTGCAATGCCATTAACTTCAATGGCAAAGCCCACAAAGCCATTAAACTCAACTCACTTAGAAACAACCTTTAAGATGCTTAAAATTACAAGTGATTTTTAACATTCAATACAACAAATCCAACTCACTTATTCAAAGACATGTTGACCATGCTTTAACTTCAATTCTTTAATGTATTCAATTTTTAAGGCACTTGTTATTTAACATATTCAATTTTTTATTCAAATGCATATTAATTTTTGCATCCAAATGCATATTTAATAATAAGTTTAATAAATTAAAATTAAAATAGAATGTTTATATTTTGAAACTTACTTTTTATTTTGTGTTGATTGAATATAATATTTGGCATTATATAGAAAATTTAATATAAATGATTAAGTTGTAGATTATCAAAATAAATGTATAATTCTAAAAAAGAATAAAAGAGATTAGAAAAATCATGTTATGGCTAAATAAGATTAACCTCTTTAGTTTGAGGTAACATAATTTAATGCTCCACAATTTAATAAACATATATATAATTATATATATATATATAATTATTTGTAACATATTAAGTCGCTTGAAATTTTACACTAATATTTATCATTTTTAATTTTCTAAAATTAATTTAGTATTCACACTTAACAAAAATATTTTGGATATGAACAAAGACAACTAGTAAACATATCCAAAGCATTTCAAATATTTTGTAACAATGAAAAGAATTTCGTATTAAATTAAATTAATCATTTCAATAATATTGACATCCTTCATATTTTTGCTGGACTTTCAATTTTATTTTATCAAGTTTTTTTGCTCCTTTTATCATTTTATTTTTTAACCTCATGTTTAACTTACTGTATTTTATTTTTGTTTTAGGTTTTATTTTAATTGCATTGTAAAAAGTACAAAATAAAATTTAAATTAATAAATTTAGAATATATTAATTTATTTTTAATTATTAATAATACAATGTACTAAATATGTTAATTTTATGTCTTGTGCGTATTTAGTTTATGAAATATATTTCAACTCCTCACTTTATTGTGCATGCAATTATTTCAAAAAGAATCTTTCATGAAATGATGATTACTAAAAAACATAACCTTAAATAATGTGGTATGTATTCAATTGTACTTTATATTTAAAAAAAATAAAAAATAGAGAGCGATTTATATAATTAAGTTTGGTTGCAACATTGGTCTTCTTTTTCCTGTTTTATTTACAGCTTATCTTATATCAATTTGTTTTATCACAAATACAAACGTTTGGAAGTAAAACCAGTTTGCTTTTGTTATTTTTTTTCAAACTTGTGTGCAGTATTTATTTCCTTCTCACTTTTCATCCCTAGATCTCACTACCTAACCACAAAATATTAACTTTAAAATAGATATATTTACTACATTAAACCTTGAAATGTTTTCATGGGGCATTGTGTCATTTCCTGGACAATTATAGTGCAACTTGCTAAATTTTTAATTGGTTTTTTATTGTAACCTTGGTATTCTTCACTTTTTGGTTTCTACTTATAACAAGGAATTGTTTAATACAGTGTTATCTAATTTTGTCTAAATAAATGCCATTACAGCCATATTGTCTGGTTTTAAACTGTGTTAAGAGGCAATATTTATTCATCATGTGAATTTATTCATCTTTTCTATATTTAGATGGTTTTATTACACGTTATTTTATGCTAGTTTTTATGTAAACTTACAGAATCTGTAAGGTTTAAAATTAAACCTATACACAGAGAAAAAATTTTAAAAAAAAAACAAGATATATGTTTAAAAAAGTTATGTTATCAATTTTAAAAGATCTCCATTGTTGCTGATATTTTCTGGTTCTTAGCTTAGTTTTTATAAAATTATAATATATACCTCAATGCAATTAATGTTATTCTAGCATTAGGAATCTTACCATGCTTTGGAATTTAGATGTCAAAGAGCATTATTATTGCATAATAAAAAATCAAAATAATAAAGTTAATAATTATATATATATATATATATATATATATATATATTTATTGTTAACATCTTTTTGAATAATAAATAAGTTACATAATAAATTTAAAAAACTGCTTTTGTAATAATCAAATAAATTCAATAGTATGGGTTGGTGATATAGTACTTAAAATTTATGTGTAAACGTCAAAACTAGTTCTATATATATATATATATAAAGAGAGAGAGAGAGAGAGAGAGAGAGAGAGAATTATGAATGCACTTAATAATAAAGTTTTATTTAAATATGCCTTACAAATGAAATTTCATTAAAAGTTTTGGATCAAAAAAATGATTGTGTATTCATACCATCTATCTTTAAAAGTTTGTAATTGATAACATTTATATGTCAAATACTTTCTTAAACAGATACTTTTATAGAAGATACTGTTTTATAGAAGAGATGTTAAGATTGTAGCAGCCCTTTTTCCTCTGATTTATTAATCTAAGGCAGCAAACAATCTCCACACATTTCAAAGGAAAGAAAAAACCAAATCGAACCATATTAATTGAAGACATAAATGAACAGAATAAGTAAGAGATCAGAATTTTCGAAATCATTCGCAATTCGCATTTGACCGGGCCTCAATCTCTTAGTCGGTTCTCATCATGGCCTTGGAGGAGGCGGACTTCAGCGCCTAGGTAATCGCAGGGTATCATATCTCGTAATTTCCTGAGAGGTTTATGCGTCTGCTGTCTGAGGGAGAGTTAAACTTTGTAACTGTGTTTTTAGGGTTTGGAGGTTTCCAGAACAATGCAGTGCTGCGACTCAGGCTCTTCTTTCTTTGTAGTTCGCAGACCCCGCTAACTTCTTTTGAGCTTGCACAGTTCTTTACTTCTAGCCTCTAGTGGATTGGATTGGTATACTTATCAGGAGCAAGGATCAACTGAGTAAGTCACTTGACCTGGACTCGAATTGTATGCTCAGTTTGTAGTGGGGTGCCAACTGGAGTTTTCGGGTTTATCGATATCGAATAATGGAGGAATGTAGTTTATGAAATTCGCGCATTAGATTAGGTTTTGAGTTTGAGATTCAGGGTTTAGGGTTTATGGCTTAAGTATCCATGTTGTTGAATGAATTGTATATGTTAGGGGTATGGATTCCCTCGAGAGGGACGAGGATACGAAGGAGGTAGCTCCAGAGTTGGAGATTGAAGTAACCGGGAAGAAGCCAAAGCACAAAGGGAAGCATGATAAACCGAAGCCCTGGGATACGGATGATATTGAGCATTGGAAGCTCGAGAAATTTGACCCTTCGTTCAACGAGGGTGGTATGCTGGAGGAGAGCTCGTTCGCTACCTTATTTCCAGCGTATAGAGGTACATTCACCAAGCATTTGGGTGAATTGCGTCTAGGTTTACGTTTCAGGTCTTTGAACTCTTGCAAGGCGGTGCGCAACTAGCAGACAGTCTATCAATTGCTTTGAATGCACCTTGTCGCGGGTTTTCTATGGTTGGTGGGTTGAAGCCCTGTTAAGGTGATGTTAGGTTATCGGTCGCGACGGGACTCTCGTATTTGTTACTTTAGGAGTTAATAACAATGAATCGTGACTGGTACTTGAGGGTGCAGAAAAGTACTTGCGAGAAACATGGCCAGTGATCACGCAGGCGCTAAAGGAGCACGGAATCAAAGCCGTACTAGACTTGGTAAGATCTTGTACTTAATTTACATTTTCTTGATGAATTTCTGAGCGCTGTGTAATGGTTTCTCTGAATTTTATTATTTGAGGTTTATCTGACCATCTCATCGAATTGCTTCCGTAGTTACTCTGAGGTCTTATAAGAGATCATCTGATTTCATATTAATATTGATAAAATATGCAGTAGACTGTACCCCACTTTTAAAATTAGAAGTAACATGCGCTGGTGCCAACATGCAGGTGAAAGGATCTATGACTGTATCAACAACGAGGAAGACGCGAGACCCCTATATTATCATGAAGGCTCGTGATCTCATGAAGCTTTTGTCTAGGAGTGTCCCAGCACCTCAGGTTGGATATTTAGAGATTTCGTTTAGATGCATTTTTCTTACAGCATGGGATTGTAATTATCCTTGGGATATGTACAGCGTTCACTAATCAGTCATCAGACTTGTGTGTGTGTGTGTGTGTGAGAGAGAGAGAGAGAGAGAGATTCTGAACATCTCATTACTGTTTTCATAACTATTTTGATTGCAGGCACTCAAAATTTTGGAGGACGATATGCAATGTGACATTATTAAAATAGGCAATCTTATTCGTAATAAGGTGAGTCTGAACTGTAGGCAATCTTATTCATAAAATAAACGCCACATTAAATTTTAGTCTGCGTTTATATTGTTTTGTGCTTTGATACATTTGGTAGGCAAGTTTTGGTATGACAATCTACTATCTTTGTTAATATCCATTCTTTTATTCGTTGTTTGTATGTGTAGGAAAGGTTTGTAAAGAGGAGGCAACGGCTGTTGGGTCCCAATGGTGCTACATTGAAGGCTCTCGAACTTCTAACAGGCTGCTACGTCCTTGTTCAGGTGGGTTTCTTTATTTTACTTTGCGGAACTAGTTTAATATCATGGATATTAATGCGAAGCTGTAACCTTATGAAGTTATACTATTACTATTACTACTAGTGTATTGTTAGTATTATTATTATTATTGTTATTATTGTTATTCATAATTATTAATTTAATTTGATTATTAGGTTAACTATCGTCTCGAATTACTTTAATTTCAAATTAATAGTTCACAGGCTATGCTGGGGGGACAAATAGAGCTTTTAGCATCAGAGATCTCTCAGATGTATATTTCGTGGTTGAGTGATTCATGCCATACAATGTTAGATCTTTTGTGTGGAGTTCATTCCATCGAGTGTTACAAAAGGATCTGTACCTCAGAATTTTGAGTTGTATTATCGATTTCTATGAGAGATTAATTCGATGTTTTCCAATGTTTCAGGGTTCCACAGTCTCTGCAATGGGACCTTGGAAGGGCCTTAAGGCCGTACGTCGAGTTGTTGAAGACTGCATCAAAAATGTGCATCCCATATACCACATCAAGGTAATTGTGACTTCTTAGCCTCTAGTACAATAATTGGCATTTAACCGGCACTATCTGGTATTCCTTGTTCTTGACTTCTTGGATTTTATTTCATGTTTTCCTCTGTTTAACTTGGTTACCCTGGTTTTCTGGTAAGGACAGGCTTTGATGATTAAGCGAGAGCTTGCGAAGGACCCCGAGCTCAAGGATCAAAATTGGGATAGATTTTTACCAAAATTCAAGAAGTATTTTTCTATGCCCGTTTTCAACGTTGTCTTTTCAAAGTGCCAATATCCCTCCATTTTTCATTAAAGTACTTCGCACAAGTCTGTCTTGGAACTCTTGTAGACTGAACATTGTCGTGAATGTTACAGGAAGAATGTCAAAGCCAAGAAGGTCAGCAAGGATAAGGAAAAGAAGGACTATACACCTTTCCCACCTCCCCAACAACCCAGCAAGGTATACTTTCGATTTGCAATTTTTAATCACACTTGAAATTATGGTGATCAATGATATAATCCACATTTTTCAACTAGGTGTGACAGGCTGCTCCAAGTGTAGTCATTGTATGCGAGGTCTTATCTGCAGCGACTTTCTTGTTATGCTCTTGTGTGTTTTTTCTCTTGTGCTTAACCTACATTACTTCAAAATTCAGGTCGACTTGCAATTGGAGAGTGGAGAGTATTTTCTCAGTGCTGAAATGAAGGCAGCTAAAAAATGGGAAGCCAAAAAGGAGAAACAGAGTGAAAAGGCTGTCGAAAACAAGCGCAAGCGTGAGGCTGCATTTATAGCTCCTAAGGTTGTTGAACTACATCCTTATGAATTCCTGTTCTTTTGCGTTGAATAGACAACCATTTTTACGAAAAAACAGCAAAGTTATACAGGCAATTGTTGTTAGCTAGCGAAGGTTCAGTTGCGAGCAGGAGTTACATTCAGCATGTTGCAATCTGAGTTGCTTATCCCATGCATGGCTTGGAACTTTGACTTGATATACTCCACGCTGATCGGTCTTCTGATCATGAAACACTATTGTTTCTGGTTCAGGAAGAAAAGAGAACTGCAGAGAATTCCTCGAAGGCAGATCGATCTAGTCAGAATGATGTCGCCGCTATGGCCGCGTCACTCAAGGTTCGTCTTATTGGATTAACTTTCTGGACATTGACTTTACTTTCTATTTTCATGCGTATGATAACTAGGCGTGTGATGTGTACATTGCGTTGCTGATCATTTTATTCGGTAGATAATAACTGGTTGTTTTAGGTGCTTGATACTAAACCTAAATGGTTGAAGGCGAAAAAGAAAGGTTTAACTGGTTTACAAGGTTTTGGAATGACTTCGTCTCGGGTTTTGTCACCACATGTATGAAATGCAGAGTTTTGTTTATGCTCGTCTCTTATTTTGTGAGTTTCTGATTCGCAGAGCAAGATGAAAAACACCTCAGAAACTACAGGAAACCAAGCGAAAGGAATTGAAGCTTATTTGGCAACACCCTCATCATCGAAAAAGCAAAAGGTTGCAAACGGTGAGCAAAGTGGTGAGAAGAAGAAAAAGTCCAAGAAATCAGCTGAGATTAAATCTGAATTTTGAAGTAGATTAAATCTAGTATAGCAGAGATGGATGGGAGAAATTGGGAAAAAAAAATGTCTTTCAGACTGATGAGTGTAGTTTTGCTATTTAGTTTACTGGTTGAAATTGCAAGTTTCTGTCGCAACATTTGACGAAAATTGGCACAATGGGCTCATGTGCGTTTGCGCAACAGATCTATCTGCTTACCTGATCCGTTGGCTCTTTCTGATTACAAAACCTGCAAATGCTTGTAAAAGTGTTCCCACTGTTTTGAGGATATGATGTGGGCACCAATCCTATTGGATGTAACCTAATAGAAAATTGATTCGAGCTTTTCCGTTGAATTCCTCTTTGTCATTCCAGTCACTTCTAAGGCAGAAGTTCTTCAAGGCAACGCCCCTCATTATTTGAAATCCCCCTTCAACTGCTTTTTCTTTTTAGGCACGATCAGGGAATGTCTCCTTGCATAGGTTGAGAAAAGGGATAATTTCAAGCATCCAGAGTTTTTACAATGTCTTGTAGGGCAGACTTGGAGTTCACTTACCCACTGAATTATCAATCCTTAGGTGGATTATGTATGATTACTTTGTTGTGAAGGATGTTGGATTTCTATTAATGGTTTAATCATGTTGTATCTAATGATGCTATGAGCTGTCTGTAAGGAAATTTTAGCTTGTGTCATGTTTTTCTATTTTTGATATTAATTAATTTTGAATGATCTTATTAACATTGTATTGTATTTTTGCATTGTTAACATGCACATGTCATTTGGTAGTGACCAAATTTGATTTAATTATTTAAATGTGAAAGAAAGTTTCTCAACAAAAATAGGTTGTATTTAACTGAAGTTTCTTTGTAGTCCCTATTGTCAAAGAATTGTGAATAATTTGTTAAACAAAGTAGTTCAATTCCATTTATTTATTTATTTATTTATTGCTTAAAGACCATGCCAGTACAAAAACCCAATTGATTATTTTTCTTGACAATGTTTGACAACTGTTTAAAAAATTGTTAAACAAATCAAATGTTATAACTCTTGACAATGTTTGACAACTGTTTAAAAAATTGTTAAATAAATCAAATGTTATAACTCTTGACAATGTTTGCCAATGGCACAATCAACTATGTATTGATATTCCAAAATTTACATTTGTCCTCTATTTGTTTATTGCTATATATTGGTGCCAAATGAGCTTTGTCACATAAATTCTTAGTTTGCTTGCATGTCACACTAAATACTTTGCCAATAATATCATAATTTAGAAATATACTTCTTTGTATGAATACTTAGAAATTATTATGTAGTCATCTTCTTCTTTTTATTTATTTTGTTAAACTTTTATATTGCTAATGTTCTTGTGTTGTAAATTATTATTGACATTTTGGTGTTGTTTTTATGCCTTTCACCCTCATTAATGTCTAGCTTGTTGAAAAACTTGTAGCAATGGCATAGAGAAGAGAGTAAACTCCACCTTTTGTAGATTAAACACAATAATTTGCTAATTAATCTTGCAAAATATATTATCAATTCTTTTTGCTATTGCTACTTCTAATTAAGTGGATAAAATTCTAGCTCCTTTACTTAATCATAGAATGATTTTCATATTTAAAAATTATCATTATATTATATTATTTTTTCAATTAGACCTTTTAAGCAAAACATTTCCTACTATGAGAATTATTAGAAATCTTAGACTTTAATTTTAAATTTTAAATTTAATTAAAAATTATTTGTTTAAGTGTCAAGTATTAATTTAGCGGCCAAAATTTAATTAAATTTCTTTTATCAAATTAATATCGTTCTAATGGAAGTTTTATAAAAAGATTAAAAATAAGTTTTAAATTTTAAACATGTTAGATGATGTTATGTTTAAAATTAATCTAAAAAAACCAATTTATTCTTTAAGTAGAGGATCTAAACTAAGAATTGTATTCCATCAAAATAAAAGAGAATTATTAGACATAATCTAAATTTTAAAATTTATTTATTTTAACTAAATCTTAATCTTGATTATCTTTAAAGATAAGAAAAAATCATCTATCATATTATATACATCATTTATATGTTACATTCTATATTTATAAAATATACTATCTATTTTAAAAAGATAAAGATGTCAATTAAGGATTTTTTGCATCTTATTATTATGATATTTTTCTAATTATATGAAAGGGCCTTAGATGACATAGACACGTCTTTGACCATATCATGCCACATCTTATGTATCTAAGACTAATTTTAAATTTTTATTTTATCCTTTTAATTAGTAAAAAGTGCCCATGTAGAATAAAACTAATAAACTTTGTTCTTGTGTCTGTGTATATATATATATATATATATATAGTTAGAATGCTATATTAATTACTTTGCTAATATAAAAAACATTGCATCTTTTAGATTGATAATTCCTAGTCCACAACATAACTTGAACTTGCATTCAACATGTGATGCTACTTTTCTTGAGGATGCATATTACCTATATTTCTAAAACAAATTCTTACCATAAATCTAATCTTTAATATACTATATAAATACTTTGTTAATACAATACTATAATAATATAAGAAAGAGAGTGGTTTCTTTTGACAATAATAATATATTTTTTTACATTAAGACATATTAAATGTTAAGAAGTTAATTCTTATTAAACCTAATGTAGTAATATTTATCTAAATTCTTTGTGTCTATTAATTTTTTTTAAAAAATAATCTAAAATTTTATTGATGTTATTATTCTTTATCCAATTCCAACCAAGTTTATGTGCCTTGTGTGGTGTAATTTAAAAAATATATCAATATGCTACAAATTAGCCCAATTAATTTGTAATGTTTAAAAAACACAAAAACTGCATAGAATTTTAACTGTATGTTTAATATATTTTTCTTCTTCCTGTACAATAAAAGTAGAATCATTTACATATTTGCCAGTCAATTGTTGTTTTTCTTACAAAGAAGTTTTATATCCTTCATTTTGAATCATTTGAATGACAAAAATGTCTAATTTAATACTTCTCTCATAATAACAAAATAATGAGGTGATGATAGACATTATTGCTTCTTACCTTGCTTAATAAAAAGAACGTAAACTAAATCTCTTACTAATACTAATTCTTGCTTCTACATCCTTCAATAACATTATGACTATAACTAAAAACTTTGCATTAAAGTCTATCTTTTTCTAGAATTAACAACAATTTTTTTTTAAAAAAAAAATCTCTATATCACACCCAATTTTATTATTTATTTATTTTTTAATATTTTTTGTGTGACATATGAGTTCTTTCAGAATATTTTATTTAAAACTTCGTTTTAATTTTGACAAATAATAAAGAGTGAGGCAATCACCCGTCGATCTTCACGGGTCACGGGCACAACGCAGGAGAACCCGTCCGGTTCACATGCGCTAGATGAATGAAGAGAATATCATCCATAAATCAACGGCACATTTCGCTCATCCATCCAGGGGCCCTTCGTCTTCTTCGCCCTCTTCCGGCACTGCTTTGCTTCTTCATAAGCACTTGCTGCATTTCAGGAATCCGTCTCCGCCCCTGTCTGTTTGTTTGTTTGTCTCTGCGCCTTTGCAATCTCACCATTCCGGGCTGTCCCCTTCGTATTCTATCAGGTGCTAGATCTTCTCTCTGTGTTTTATTTTTTGAGTTTCGTTTTCCGCGTTTTTTTTTGTGGTCTGTGTCAGTGTTTTCGGTTGTAATGCCTGTGCTGTGCGGATGTTAAAACGAGTGCTGGAGGTTTAGAGGCGGAGGTGGTGCGTGATACCCGGGATATTGAGTCCATCCGCAGATTGAACCAACTGTGGCTCGCATTATTTTGTATTTCCTTAACATTGCTGCGATCAATGGGATCTATTGAGATCGGCCGAGGTGCTCCGGAGGTTTGAACAAGGGAGTGTGTTTGGCGGGACCGCGCAGGTAAGGAGAGCGGAAATGGATTCCGTTGCCGCTGTTCCCTCTGCGTTGGTGGAGAAGAAGAGCAATGCGGCAGGCCGGGAAAAGTTTATGGACGTTTACCAGCAGCTGAAGAAGGAGATTCTGTCTGATTCCGAGCTTGTCACATACACGGAGGAGTCTCGTGCTTGGGTTGAAGAGGTCACTTGGCTTCCTAACCTGTCTTTCGGTGATCTCCATCTATAGTGTCTTCACGATTTTTGATATGCTACGGCTGTATTTTGGTATAAACGTCTAGTAGCACGCATTGTGTTGCAGATATGTTATTGAGGTCTTTATTGGATTCTGCAACCCACACTTATTGCGTCTCGTAATAAAATTCTTATAATTTTATTCTCCTTCATTCTGAGGTTCTGACGACCTGCATTTGGCTCTTAGCACAAACTAAGTCAATTGATTCGCTGACTTACGGTATATCATTTGTTTTGTGTGTTTTGTTATTTTTTTCTTATTTTGTGCAGATGCTGGACTATACTGTGCCTGGAGGTGTGACCTCTTCTCTCCCATCACGTTTAGAGGCCCTCCGATCTATTTGAATCGAAAGCACACCTAATTACTGTTTGTTTTTATTTTTTTATTTTTGGTTTTTTGTTGGTCTGTTTTATATGAAGCTGTTCCAGCAAGGAAAATAATCTGTGGAGGCGGCAGACGGTTTGCAAATGTTAGCATTTGAATTTCAACTCTGATACATTGGATCTTTTGCAGGAAAATTGAACAGAGGTTTGTCAGTCGTCCACAGCTTGGAACTTTTGAAGAAAGATACACCACTTTCTGAGCAAGATACATTCAATGCGTGTGCCCTTGGTTGGTGCATTGAGTGGGTATGACGTTTCCAACTTAAAGGAAATGGTGCAATTTTGTTGATTATATTCACTACACGATTTCAGCATATAACCTTACATTTTTGTATCGCGAATATTCAATTTCTTTGGAGACCAGTCTCTCAGTTTTATTTATTTATTTATTTTTGGTACCTGTAACAGCTGCAAGGCTACTTCCTAGTCATGGATGACATTATGGACAATTCAGTCACTCGTCGAGGACAACCTTGCTGGTACCGCGTTCCAAAGGTGATCTACTTTTGAAGCTGAGGGTTTTAGATTCATGATGGAAAATGATGCGGCAATTTGATCCCTTTTCTAGTGCAAAGTCCTCGTGAATATTACACCCATAGAGTCAATTCGCGGTTTGCTACATATGTTGGCGTGTTACGCAGTTAATCGACGTCTTGCTGTGCAGGTTGGCCTCATTGCTATCAACGATGGAATAATCTTGAGAACGCATATCTCTCGTGTTCTGAAGAGACATTTCCGGCAGTCCCCAATCTATGTGGAACTTGTCGACTTATTCAATGATGTAAGTTTGTTCCTCCAATGATGATTCTCGCTCATGGGAGTTCTATATTTGCAATTCAGTATCAGTATCGTAGTGTGTGCTAAACTGTGTACTAGTTCTGCTTTAGTGCTGCGTGTAGTTTGATCTGTTCTCTGCCTCCTGCCATTCCTGTTGGTCTAGATATCTTATTTAGATTAGCTCTCTTCGGGATCATATCCAGGGTTAGAGTTTCTGAAATGTACCGGAGGTTGAGAGACGCAGGTCGAGTATCAGACAGCCTCTGGACAGATGTTGGACCTGATCACCACTCCAGCAGGAGAAGTTGATTTGTCGAAATATGTATTACCCACGTACGTATCTTATTTTTGACTGGATGTTGAACCACTAGTATTACGTGTTTTTGTTATACATTTATTTGTATAATAATTTGTTACAGTTTAGCTTTTTCCTTGATGCCTTAAGATGACGTCATTGTTCAGTGAATATACGTGTTGACAAGACATTGCACTTTGTGGATTGCAGTTATCTGCGAATCGTAAAATACAAAACTGCATATTATTCATTTTATCTTCCTGTAAGGTTCCTTCGCTCCAAGTGTTGGTTTTTTGAATACTTGACAACTAGTCATGTGTTTAAAGATGTTTTCTGTGGATTATCTGGCAATATATGCAATCAGGAAATCAACTTATCTTATTTTGCTGATCGGAGGTTCAAAATAAAGCATGTGGTAGTCTGGAACATACTATCATGGTCCTTGGGTAGTCCATCTGTAATAGACAGATACCGTTTGAAACTGAATTTCCCTGTCAAAGTTTGTTACGTGTAGCCTGTAGCTTGATTGCATGATCCCTATACTGTTTTTACGTGTGAGATTTTCTTGTCCCTCCTGCCCAAATCACTTTGAGGTTGACTTGGCTGAATTCTGATGTGTTGCAGGTGGCATGTGCCTTGCTTTTAGCTGGGGAGACGAGCGTGGCCAAGTTTGAGGCAGCTAAGGAAGTCCTTGTACAGATGGGCACATACTTCCAAGTCCAGGTATGATTTCGATATTGGATAGCTCCTGAAATGTCGAATTTTTGTAGATCTATCTTCAAATACTCTGAAACTTTGAAATGGCTTGTGTTGTAGGACGACTATCTTGACTGTTACGGCGCGCCAGAAGTGATTGGAAAGGTACGTGATTGCCTCGAATTTAACCATCCTTAATATGGATGAAACAAAGGACTGTTCGTGTAACGTATCTCTAAACCCCTGCTTTCATAATACATTGTCGAAATCTGAACTCGACCTAGTCATTTGGTTATCTTATTTATAAATGATCTCTTCGATTTATCCCACTCAGCATTAGTTGTCATTGAAATCAATTTGAGTTCCTTGCGCCCTCAATGCCATCTTCAGTAGAGAAGCTAGTAGTGAATCTTGTTCCTGAGTTGGTTGTCTAAATATACAGTTAAAATGTTGTGCATGGTTACAGATCGGAACTGACATTGAAGACACTAAATGTTCCTGGCTGATAGTTCAAGCCTTAAAGCGTGCCAATGAATCCCAGAAACAGTTATTGAAGGTGAGCTCCTCTCTTGAATGGGTTTTCAAATTCATATATTTTGTAAGTAAACTATATTTATTTGTGTGTTCTTAAGTATTCTATCGTTTCATGTTTCAGGAAAAATATGGAAAGAAGGACCCAGCGTGCGTAGTTGAAGTAAAGCGCGTTTACAATGAACTTGAACTCCAGGTGAGTGGAATGATTTTCAAGTTCACTAATGCCACATTCGAATTCTTGAATCCTAATGATACTGTGCTCTTGGAGGAGCCTCTACGGGTGCTTTTTTATTCAGTTTCTGATTTGTCCTTTACCTGTGAATTGCTGATTGATAGTATTGTGTGTTTTCAGAAAGTGTTCGAGGACTATGAACGCGACAGCTACGTAAAGCTTATTGCTGACATCGAAAAGTTAGATGATCAAGCCTTGCAAGTGAGTAACCTTACTCTGCATGCATCTCACTACCTCTTTTCAGCTCACTGTTGACTCCCTTTTTCTTTTGATCTGGCTAGTACTGACTTGTTGAGTTTGACCCAGGTGGTTTTGAAATCATTTTTGGCCAAAATCTACAAGCGCGAAAAGTAGGGTACGTAATCCTATTTGGAAGATGGCAACTATCCTCGTTAAGATCTTTACTCGAGGCTTTTCCACTTGGAAAGATGTGACGCGAGCAGCTTGCTGGAGATGTTTCGGTCTTGCTGCGATCCTTGCGCTGCAATACCCGACTTTCACTAGTGTGTGCTATGATAGCCTTGTATTCACACCTTTAGATCTGCATGATCAAGGAAACGATTCCTGCTAGTCTATGGTGATAACCAAAGATTATTTTCGTTAGTATTTTGCGATATATCGCCTTATTTTTTGTTTCCTGCCAGAATGGCTCCAAGTTAAAAAGATTCCTCTCCAGAGATATATTGCAGAATATCTAATTGCATTATGGTTAGCTTTTGGAAGCTGTTTTTTATGTCAGAATTTGTACTTGGAAAAACAGCATTTACTCAGCATAACTCTTCTGATAAATCGATCGAAATGTCATTGCATCCCTAAATGGCTTATTGATGTCTGTTTTTTTCAAGCTGTTTGGCTGACGAAGGATACTTTTTTAGTGATATTTTGCAAGAGCTGTGATGCTGTCGATGTGAAGTGTGGCCTTTCTCAACAAAAGTGGACTCATCTAATTGTATAAAAACTTAATTTGTAATATATGTGTAATAAATAACAATATGTTACCTTATACAAGCTTTATGATATGAACTTAATTAATAATGCTGATACTCCTATGGAATGTCTTCTGGTAGGTTTTTGCGAGCACAAAAATTAAGACAAGCCAACATATTTCATGAATAAGTATGAATAGGAATCAGACTGTAGAGGAAGCTTGAAAAGTCATGGACATTCTCAACTGGCTCCCTTCATTACTCCTTTGAAATCCTTCCACTTATGAAAAAATGCATTCTCAACTCATTGTCCCAAATGTGAGCATCCAGATGTTAAAGCCACCAACATTTGTGAGCACAATGATTATACTTCTCTTTTTCCTTTTCCTTCTTCTTCTTCATTATTTCATTCCTATTCTTTTTCACCTTCCTCTTTGATAAATTTGTTTACTTTTGTTTTTAATAACATCTACTACTGTTTGAGGGACCCTTGATCCTACACACGTTCTCACCAGGTACAGACAACACCACATAGATCAACATTTCTAAACAGTTGCCAAAGCCCTTCAGCACTTACCCAAGTACAGGATTAATTTGGTTTCAGGCATAACCATGGATTGTAGAACGATATTCCACATCTTAGTCACATCTATGATTCTGATAATAACAAAAAACTTGGCAAACACCCACTTCTCATGCACAAAATTTGCACAGCATGTGATTAGAATTATTGCATACTTTTCAATCCACTCGATTTAATTTTATTATCATTATTATTCTTTTAAGATTTTGGTGAGGCCATAGTTTTTGTGTGGCTGGTCTTGATCTGTTGCTCTTCTGCACAGCCTGGGACACTATCATCAAGCACTCTGGGCCAACATTAAGGCTGTCAAGTTTCCTTTTCCACCAGTTTCCCTGGAAGTACAAGCTGCTGAAAGAGTTGCTGATTTCACTAAATTTTATTTTTATGCTGCTTGGTCTCATGCCTTTCCTGCTATGCTTCAAGACCCCCTTTGGAGCAGTGAATGTTAATTCAATAAATCAGATTCAATTTTCATGCAACATTACAATTAATATATAGAAGAAAACAACTATTGCACTCATATATGTTTTTTTTCTTTTTTCTTTATTAACATTTCTTACTAAAACATTAATTTTGTGATATTTAGGGTCCACTTAATTTTAAACCATTATTCTTTTAAGAGATAGATCTTATTTTCTACTAGAACTACAAGATTATAGCTTATTATCTGAATACTTAAGCTAAAAAAGTAAGCAATATAATTTTAAAGTCAAAGTCTAGACTTTGAAGAAGATAAAACGTATTGTGTAGATTATGATTACTAATTATGATAGAGTGTGGTAGTATAAAGCATACAAATATATTATTAGATTCTTGCAAAAACATGAGAATTATATTTTTAAGTTCAATTGTATATAACCCATTTATAAGTTTATTTAATATTCAAATCAGTTTCAAGATCTATAGAATTCTCTAGTGTCTTATCTTTCTCTTCATGTTGTTATCTAACTTAAAGAAACTTTTCAACCAAATAATCATCAAGTTCTGTAAGACTACAGATAGCCACATTATTAAGCTAGATATATAGATATGTATATAATAATAATAATAACATTTTTTTCTTACCACCAATTGCATAGGGCTTTGCATTCTAAAAAGCCAAAAAGTAAAAAAATAATAATCAAACTCTACGATAAAAAAGATGTTGTTGTTGTGTGTAAGTGTGTTTTTTTTTTTTTTTTTTTTTTTTTGTTAATGTTAGAAAAGAAAAAAAATTAATAACCAATGTCATCCAATAAAAAAGTAGTAATTAAATAACCAATTGAAGTCCTTGGCAGAGAAATACGTGATTCTATTTTGAAAACAAATAAAATATAAAAATATAAAATTGGAAAAAAGACTGAAAACAACCTTGTACAGTTCCATGTACCTCCATGCAACAATCTCTATAAATTCATGCTCTATCTTCCTCCTTCTTCCATAACACAATAGATTCCATGTGGACACTAAGTTATATTTGCTTTCTATTGCCCTAAAATAATAACCCACCTGACAACGCTCCTTTGTTTTGATGCCACCCATTGAAACGCTCTAAAAATGATTGAAGAGAGTTTTGACCTTCACGTTGGATTGGCCTCCACTTGGAAGCACTGTGTCGTAATTGACATCTAGACAAAAGGACACACATACACATATCTATATATCTATGTATATTTTGGCCCTCCTCGAGGCGTGTGCCGCTGTCAAGTCCCCACCATATTGTTGTGTTTCACAGTTTGCTCTCTACTCGATTTTAACCTCGTATTGTATTGTATAGTAGCACTGTTTTGAAGAAGAGAAAAGTGAGAGAGAGACAAAAAAGAATCCTGTCACTGGAGTGTGGTTGCAGGAACAGCCTGACGATCCAATCTGTACACAGTACAACTGAATTGAAAGGACGTCTGATTTTGTTACTACCAATTGGACCCTTCAGCAAAGATGCTGACACGCAAGCGCGACTCTCCTTTTGTTACAGAGAGGAAAATGAAATAAAATAAAGCAAAAATGATAGGAAAAAAACGAAAAGAAAGAAAAGAAATATCATTTATCGTGTTGCCTCTGCTGCTGCTGCAGTGCGATTCACAGTCTCACTGGGTTGGGCCAGGCAGCAAAGGAGGACTGTGTAACAAGTAGTGATTTATGTGGAGAAAACAAAAACTGCTCTTATAGTGTTCCGTAACACCTACACTGGCACTGATCACGAAGGCTGTTGGACTAGGGGATAAGACTGACATCCGAAGCTTATCCTCACAACCCTGCCTTTCCTTTGAAAAATTGGCGATTGTTTTTAGAGAACCTTTACAAAACTGATAACTGGCGTTTTTTTTTTTTTTTTTTTTTTTTTTTTTCCCACTTCTGCAATAAACATTACACAAAAAGTGGTTTCAATGACAGTTTCAGTGAAGTCACCGTGCCTAGCAGTGATGGGAGAACGGTTCAGTAATCAGTCGCTGTTTGCAGGAGCAGTTGCAATGAAATTCATTGCAGCCAATGCAAATGCTGCTTGTGCAATTGCTTTGTGCTGTACTTCTCTCCAATCACCCAAGCTCACTATCTAAGAATCACAATGCACAAAAACAGAGTATACTTCATGAAGTAGCTATGCATGTCACTAGCGTTTTGTGTAATTCCTGGCATTGAGCATAAGTAGCTGAATCATGGAAGCGAAAAACAATAGGCACAGAACAAACGCAATTGAATCAGCAGACAAGCAGGCAAGTCAATGTACAAAAAGGGTGCGAATGGGAAGGTACTGCAAGTCGACGAAATTGTGGAGAAAAGTGTGTGCAATTACACTTGATTTATGAACATATACAATGGAAACATACACCTCGGCGGCAAGAGCAATCACCGCCACTGTCACCAAAAACCTTTACTCGTACAGATCAATCGCAACCTGACCAGATCACGACGTTGCCTCTCTCTCTCTCTCTCTCTCTCCCATTTTTCACTCCCAGACAAAGAGTGAAACACGAAGGCTGGAGGTGGAGAAGACCCATTGCAACGTGCGATGGAATATATGTCATCGTGGTGATCTAAAAGTCGCTGGGGATGGCTTGGTGGCCTGCAGGAGGAGAGGGGGAGATGAAAACGCCGTCGTAGATAACCGCAGCTAGGGCAGCACCAATGAAGGGACCAACCCAGTACACCCAGTGGTTGGTGAAGTCCATGGCGATCACAGCGGGGCCGAAGGAGCGTCCAGGGTTCATTGAAGCGCCGGAGAAGGGAGCTCCAACGAAGATCTGAGCCAGAACGGTGAAGCCGATGGCCAAGGGAGCGATCACTCCCACGGTACCCTTCTTGGGGTCCACTGCGGTGGCGAACACCACGAACACAAGCGTGAAGGTGAGCACGATCTCCATCAGCACCGCAGACATGGGAGACATGCCCACTCCGATAGCGTGGCGGGCGACGTCTTCTCCCGTGGTGACCATTTTCAGAACCCATGCGCCTGCGCATTGCAAAACCACATCTCACACTTGTTAGCCGCTGAGTGAGCCCCCAACAATTTCGGTTGTACACAATGCACATAACAACCTATGGACTTCTGTATCAAGCACAAGCTTCGCGGTCGGCTTGTGAAACATCCTAGGAAACAGAGCGACCAGAGAAGTGATCGATCATGTGGTTCTTTCATGACTGATAGTCGATGATAAATTGCAGCAACATGTAGTAAAAGCTTCGGATAGGCACAATTGATTAGATCAATATATCAGGGAGGTCACTTCCTCTGATGTGGCATTGTTAAGAATGCTGAGGTCAATGCTTGTACACAGGGAGCTCGTAATAAGAGTGAAGGACAACTGGGCGCCGAAAAACAAAACCGGGTAGAATAATAGACAAAAACAGGGACGTGCATTCATACCAGCGACAGCGCCCAAGAGCTGGGCAACCCAGTAAAGGACGAGGCGAATGACGGTGATCTTTCCGGCAAGAGCAAGACCGAGAGAAACAGCGGGGTTGACATGCCCTCCGCTGATGTTCGCAGTGGCAGCCACCAGGATCGCAATAGCAAGACCGTGAGCGATGGCGATCATGAGCAGACCACCAGCTTCCAAGTCACCGACGTGAATCTTCTCATAGGACATCACCGATCCCACTCCGATGAACACAAACAGGAACAAGGAGATGAACTCCGCCAACGCCCCCTTCAACGCATCGGGGCTGGAGGCTTCATCAGACTCGCCGAATGCCAATTTCACCATGGTTACTAGTGGATGGTTACACACACACTAAAAAAAACACAACAATAACCCAGAGTGTGAGTAGAGCTAGCTAGCTAGCAACACCGGAAGAGCTGCACAGACACTGCGACAACAGGAATGGTGCAATGGAATGCGTATTGGGGTGCAGTGAAGGAGCTCTTATACAAACCCGGAGGATGATGCTCCCACAGAAGATGCTACAGTTAAATGCTACAACTAAAAAAATATAAATAAAAAAGGCTTCGTTCCCATCCACAGGTGGCCGCGTGACAACTTCCCAGTGAGGTCCGACAGCGTATATTTCATCCCTTGTTATAAAAGGAAAACTAATTATTAATTAATTAATTAAAACTGTCCCCCCCTCCCCCATGTGCCCAGCGTCACTCGTAGGTTAAGTGCCAGACCTTCAAGAGCTCTCTCGCTGCAGTCGCCAACAATTTTCCCAGGCTCCTGCAACCAGGAGTAAAACAAAACAAAACCAAACTAACTAACTAACTAACTTACTAACTATCACCGCGCTTCAGAAAGTTTTCCGTTATTTTTTCAACATATATATATATTTATTTATATTTATATATATTTATATACATATTTATATATATATTTATATTCATTTATATATTTCTTTGCAGGAAATCCATCCTTGCTCATATACAATATACAGTTGATAAGTAATGTCATTACGAAGTTAAAACTTGAAGAACTGGGTAACTAAAACCAACAACGGAAATGCATGGTTGTTGTAACTGCCTCGAGGAGTGTAGAAAGCTTTATTACGAAAAAGAGTTTGTGTGTGGCTCTGGTTTAAGCATAATCCAAAGTGACTCAAAAGCTGCATTAACACGAGATAAAAACAAATCAACCACGGTACTACCCAATAGCCATAACAGTGTCATACACAAAGAGATTGAATTAATGCCACCAAATGTCCTGTGTGGCTGGCTGTGAGCATGACGCACCAGGAGATTCAACCTTGCCACCATTGTAAGTTACTTCAGGTTTCCTCGCACTTTGTGTGGCCACACTATTGTGGCAATAGTATACATGACTTTTGGAGATGGCTTCACACACAAACTTGCAAATAAAAACTGGGGTTGAATAACTTAACTCTTCTGAAGACACACGCACAGACAGACAGACAGACAGACTGCACAGTAAAAAGCTATAGTGGTGCTGCAGCCACCCAGCCGGCCCCTAGGATGCCTTTTGCCGCCCCCCCTACAGTGCAAGCAAGTCCAGTGTATCATTTTGTAACCTTGCGCCCCCTCCCCACCTGCCCATAAAAAATATAAAAAGCAACTAGAAAAATTGAAAAGGAAAAGGAGAAATCAGCAGAAAAAGGGAAAGTAAAAGACGAAGAATCAGGGGGTGTGAAGCGCACGGGCACAGGGGGAAAGTGGATGCCGGAGTGGGTTGCTGTGTGAATGCAGCCACTAAAACACAAAACAAAACAAAAGCAGGACATTCCTGGCTCTAAAATTGGACGGATGATAATGCCACAAATGAATGGATGGATGAATGGGATGGAATCATCCTTTAGGGAGTAGTGTGCTCTAAATTGCTGACACTTGGTTGAAGCTCATTTCATTGGAGTCCGTTCCTCGCCCTTGCCAGCTGTGCAGTCCCTTCCACGTCAGCCCTTCATGGCACACAATTCTTCAGACTTGTAGAATTATATATATATATACATATATGTTTATTTTTTATTTTTTTTTATTTACAGCCTCTATCATTGTGCACGAGTGAAAAGCTGTTTGTTTGCTTACAAATTTCCTTTGTCGAAGGCATATGTATGATTGGTTTATTGTTAGGACAAATAAATTTTAATAAGATTAGATATTTGCATTAGGGTAGTTTACATTTAATAAGTTTACATTTTTGTAATTTTTTTTGTTTATACTGTTGTGTTTAAACAACGATTTATTGAATTTTCTGCATTAATTAAAATTTGAGCTTTGTTCACTCAAAAAGAATGCCTTTTTCTTGGATATTTAATTGCATAATCATGTATTTTAGATAACTGTATATATCTTTTCTTTGTTGTTGAGTAATACAAACGGATGTATCAAAAATGAAATATATAAACTTGGTATGTATATTTTTCACTTTTATTTCATTTTGAAGTATCTGAATTTCAAGTAACATTTGAATGAACCAAACCAAAATGAACTTAAAAACTATTTCACGTTCTTAATGTTGTTAGTATTCTTATTTTTCAAATGTAAAATGTATAGATATTCTGTATAAGAAAACGAATAAATAGACAGACAAAGAACATGAATAAGTGCTTTATTTTATTGTTCAAGTCTACATTTTTGCTTCTACTTTTATCAACTATATTATTATATTGAACTCAGGGGAGATGATTTTCAAGGGAGAGAGTTGTGACTAACTTGTAAAGAGGGAAATGTTTCAGGATGGAATAACAATAATCAGAGGCTAAATTAAATCTCCAAGAGATGTTATTAAATTTTTCAACATGATTGAGTAAACAACCAATTGATTCAATTTTTGTAAGTATCAATTTATGGTAGAATGTGATATTGAGTTATGTAATACATAAACAACAAATTGAGTAAATTTCACATTAACACATTCTAATACAAATTACAAAAGTTATCCCATAACACATGCTGCATTTAGGATATTGCTAATGCTATCACAGTTTTTGCTACTGCCACCCAATTGACATATTTATTTAGTTTTTTTTTTCAATCAATTTTTTTGTTAATATTCCCAATATACATATCAAACAATGATGAAAATGGTTGTGGTGGAAGTGACAAAAATACAATTTTAATTAAATTTTGACCATAATTTTCATAGGGTTGTAGTGAGAGGAGCAATAATTGTGATGGCATTAGCAATACCATGCATAGACCAAGAATGTAATATTGAGTTAGAAGTAAAAAAAAGAAATTTAAATTTAAATTTAACTAAAATTAAAAAATCTTTAATTACAAGAACATGATATTTAAAGTGCAAAAACCATTCAAGTCGAAAATTCATGTAACATAAAAATTCGGTTGACAACAACCGTGTAATATGTCTTCCTTATAAACACAATCCAATGCTAATTAATACATCATTTTATTTAGTTATTCATTTTCATCATATACCATGATCAAGAGGTGGTAATTCAAAACCCACTCGAAAATTGTGCTAAAAATTTGAGTTAAATAATCTTGCGACCAAAAGTATTGAAGGAATCCCTCTTTCATGTTACTTCAAAATCTTAAATTTATACTTTAAAGAGAAACACAAAATTATAAATAGAAAGTTAAAGTTCCGGTTATTGGGAACGGTCCAATGCATTGGAGTGGGTCAATATTTATTTTCATGGGACGGCCAAAATAATCCCACGTGGACGCGCGTGGGACAGGTGTACACCTGGAAAGGCTGACCGGACAGGCCGACCATGTGACCTTCCACCTACTCCATGTCCACGTGGACAAAGTTCTGCTGACAAGGCAGCCCTCGTGGCCCCGTGCTCTTAACTTGCTACTTGACCCCTTCTGCTGCTGCCCCCTATCCCCACTCCCCCCCTATGACCGTCTGTTCTCTTCAATCAATTCCTCTCTTTGCTTTTGCTCACTTTCGGTGGTGACAGGCTCTCGTTCCCACTCCCAATTCCACATTATCCATGCATTCTTAATATCGTGGATTAGTTTTTTTTCTCTCTTTTTTTTTCTTTTTTTTTCACTATGTTTTAAAATGATGCATCTCAGTTGCATTTATTGATGAAGTACAGCATTGGAGTCTACTGAATGCCATGTGTGTGTGCATGTCTTTGTATTGGATACAGTAAATTGGAATTTAGTGTGACTACTTTTTAGTTTGAATTCAATTTTCATTTGTGAAGAAAGTTGTGGGCTGTTTGGATGTGTGGAGGTTTCATTCCTCATGTTGCACATGTGTGTGTAGGATATTGTGTGTATGATAATGTTTGCAATGCTAACACCCATACATTGATCTTGATTGTATAAGTTTTACTTTATTTTTAATTTACTACATGTGTAATTTCTTTTGGACACTGATGTGTGATTGATAGTTTTAAAGTGGTAAGATTTCACATTTTTAGTATGAATTCTTAGTTCAATTTTTTTTGAAATAAAGCAAATCAAGTTTAATGAGACAAAAGATGATTAATGTTTTATTAATTAAAATTATTTTTGTAAAAAGTTAATGGATATCAAGGATTTTTTTTCTATTTTTTTGAATGAGAAAACATGGAGAAGCTACATTATAATTGCATATTCTCAAGTGTGTAGATATTTGATCTGTACGTTTTTATTTTTTTTTGCTTTTCATGTTGAAATCAAACAAAAGATTTTTTTGTTTGTAATATTATTCAATATATATTACTACATAAATATTAAAAATAAAACAAAAGAATGAATTTCTCTTCATTCTATGAACAATTTAAGTACATTATGTTTTGGCTTGAATTTTTGAATTGTTATGAATAATTATATATATATATATATATATCAACTTCTTCATATTATTTTCTTAGAAAAGGAATAATAATTATAATAATATTATTAAAAGAAAAATCTGAGTAAATAATAACAAAAGTGGTAGTTCAATAAGTTAAACAACTCTCAAAAGTCAATGTTGTAATTATTATTTTTCAAAAGTGTTGCTTTTTATAATCCAAGTTTTCAAGGATTTGCCTGAAAATTAATTGCCTATTGTATGAGCAGAGGATGCAATTAAATACTTCGCTGCACAAATTTGGTTATTCTACAAAAAAAAAAAAAAAAAAAAAAAAAAAATACTAACTAAGTATAGTGGCCTCCACAAAATACAATAACTACATTAATTATAAATTAAAAGACTTCCAACAACAAACATGGATAACATAAAGTTTTACATTGAAAAATGGCTTGAATATTAAAAGCTACTGAAACTTTTAACTTCAAAGCAAAAAAGAACTTAAAAAGAAGGATTCCATTTATGAATTACGTTTTCTTTACTTTAAACATGTTGTCTTCATCTGGGCAATTTAAAATTTTAGCAGATTTGATAAGGTTTTATTAAATATTGCAAATATCACAAATACATCAATTAGGCCTCTTCTTTCTATTTATTTAATTTTGTTTTTTTTTTGGTAAAAGATTTTCGTATTTTACAACACATACCTTAAAATGAAAATATACATTTATATTAATATATATATTAGCTATAAAAATTAACTAACATTGGTTATTCCTTAATATATATATTTATTCAGTTTGATATTTGTAAGAGAATTGTGCAAGCAGTCACTATTAGGGGAAGCAACAAGGTTTCAAGAAGACAAAAAAAATGACTTTTTTTTAATCACTTAATTATCTAATATATTGATATACATGTAATGTAAACTAAGATTTCTCCTTCGCTCTAATCAAATTCATATCAAAGAGAACGTTGTCAAAAGCAACCTGTAAAGAAAAAATGAAAGTACACTAGAATTCAGTTCAGAAAACTAAATGCATTATTCAATGAATATATACTATTATTGCATCAATTTCAAGTACAATGAAATTTAAGAGTCTCACTAAAATTATAAAAATACAATCACACTAATATAGACCAAGCCATGGAGTAAATAGCTAGTTGCATTTTGAAACCAGAAATTTCAAATCATTGAAATATTAACAAAGCCAGTGTCTATGTGTGTGTGGGTGAGTGAGATAAATTCATATTGTCAATTAGTTGAAACCTTTTTCGGAATTGAGTTAGAATAATCATAAGTTCAAGAATACTTCAGAAAAGTGAAATACTGTGAACAACAGCATCATTTAGGCAAAACAGAGTATTTCATCATTATCAAGTCAGAACAATCACCTTTGTTTGTATGCGAGCATGTATAATATTGTGGAAACCAAGCAAGGTGAACGAGACCATTTCCTAAAATAGTTTACAGCATCTGATTGAAGTTGTAGAATGATGCAGATGGTGACCTTGGAATCCTAGGAACAAGTTCAGTGGAACATTACAAAAAACATGAATGGGCTTTGGCCGTTGGCACGAGAATCAAGGAACCAAAGCAGCCTTTCCCAAGCGTTTACCACACAGAATCTTCACGACTTGATGACGTGGTTTGACATGGTGAGAGCCCATGAGGCACTAACACTTGGAGCATTGTAAGAGAACATTGAGAAGAAGCACAGCTTCAAAGAATGCTGAGTCTTTCATTGGGGTACACATGTATGTTGCAACTTTATTCGATGAGGCGGAACCTCACAGCCAATGGGGAAATGATTGTATCCTTTCAACTCAAAGCAACAGTTCCACAACGTCAGTTTCTTATTTGTTTCCATGCTGAAGTCGCAGTTCATGGACAACAAATCTGATCGGTAAATTAAAGTAAAACACTTCACGATTAGAAACGACAACATGCTTCTAACACTTGCAGCCTATTCGCTTTGTGTACCCAACAGCTGCAAATCCTAACGAAAGTCTGGCTAATGAATCGTTGGCTTAAAATATGATAACCTTAGCTCAGAAATGAGATGATTTCACGTAACAAGGCAAGTGTTAAGCATCCTGATCTGACCACTGTAGTTCCGAATGAGGAAAAGCTAGGACATTAAGAATGCCCTATGCATCTGCTTCGTAACTCATCTCTAGCTAGGCCATGGATCGCTATTGTCGAAGTCGGAGACATTTGGTCCTGATTTCCACACATCAGACCCATCCCCTGATTTCTTAATGAAAAGATAAGCCAGACCTAGCTGTTACCCAGGATTTCCTTCTCTTTGGACTTGCAGGCTTCCTCGACTGACTTCACGTACTTCTTCGTCACATCTTCTACCTGCAATAACACCCGAAGTCATGGGCAAGGATGAGATACAGCCACTGACAAAAGCTGAACGGTAATTAGGTCAACTTTTAACAAAACCGTAAAGCGTTGACTATCATCCGGGCATGAGATCACCGGTGGTAATCAGGTTAGAATGACCAGCGTGGCTATTTATCCAATCTGCCGAAGGACGGTTTTCGTTGTCCCGTCATCGTTCTAACTCTGATACCAGAGGTGTCTAGAGATCCTCACGTCATTCGGTATTACCATCATCCACAAAAAATGTTTTTATCATAATGATATCATAAAACGGGTGAAAAATTGACACGAGACGATAAATGGTATCAATACTCACCTCTTTCTCGAATCTTTTCACTTCATCCTTGGAGTATCCACCTTTTGAGATGATATCCATAGCCTGAAATAACAGAACATTTCAACATTTCAATCCTCCGCAACTCGACAGTCTCATGTACGACACCAAAAGCAACTTTAAACACATAGTTTTAACCAAGTGAAAAAAAGAAGAAGTAAACTTACGTCTTTGCGTGCTCTACGCACACTAAGCTTCGCGGTTTCACCAGCTTTCCCTACAAGTTTACTCATGGTCTGCAAGAACCATAATCATAATCAAGAATAAATGACTGAAATCGGTGGTCAAACATCTATGGTGTGTCATTTTCAATACCCAAACGTATGCTGCTACTAAACATATACTACGGGGCTGAGAATCCTACCTGTATATGCTCCTTTGTTAGCCTGAAGGATTACCAGTTTCAAAGTCAACCCACCGCATCGACACCCATCACAACTGAGTCAGGATCACGCCCCTGCTATCACATGAAGTATGACTCGTAAACTTCGAATACTGACCTAGCTTGATCTTACAGCGCTATAAACCTACTCCACAAATACAGGAAAACGAATCGACACTCAGCTAATTCATTTCACATGATTGGACAGTCTGGACGGAACGCTACGAAATCTCAAGCACGTAAGCCGACAACATTGGCGACATTCGTAAAATTACGTTTTTATCTAAAAGTAGACAGAGAATCTCGGTACTGAAAACTTCATGATACAATCATCCAAGCAAGTTTACGTAATCTAATCAACATTATAACACTCTTTACGTACATGTACATGTTAATTTAAACGCAAACAAAGGAACATTCAAAGTCATTCTCCTTACTTAGGGATAGGAACCCTCAGGACTTCCCCTTCCGCCATGGGGTTTAGTTTGAGTGGAGAATTTCGAATAGCTTTCTCAACTTCTTTGACCATCTGTTCAGCCACACATGACAAATACAAGATCAGACAGGCAACACAAGGCTGCATACTCAGGTCCAGCAAAGAATTCAACGTCACTTAGGTCCAGCAATATTTGACAACACAACCAATAGAAGCAGCGAATTTCGGAAATACCGGAACTCACAGAAGTATCATATGGCATTACTGTCAATGTTTCAAGATTGGAAACCGAAACTGCGGCCACATGAGATAGAGGTGTTTGTACACCATGAGACATCACGTTCACATGATCTAGCATTCCTGCAATCGACCTAAATGAGTTAGATAATTACTTCACAATTAGAGAAAAAAGGCACTTCACTTGTCAGTGAATACGGTTGATGCTCCTCTATGAAGCGACAATGCAATGACTCTCGCACGAAAATGTACTGGGAGGTACTGCACTGTCATCGCACCATGCATTACTTCGAAAAGCATCGACACTAACCTGGAGTAGCTCTGCCAGTGCGAAGTTTCGAGAGCTCCACTGACAGAGCATTCAAGGCAGCCTCCATCAGCCTCGAAGCTGTTTCTTTGGCTGATGGTCCTGGAGTTGCAACAACTTGACCTCCGCCATCATCACCACCTAGACCAGCATGGACAAGCACAAAAATCTTTAGATTACGAGAAAAGTATTAATAAATGCAAAAGGCGAACCCATGTAATCACTTAGCGCACGCATGAGAATGTATGCACACGTTCACTAGAACGTATTTAAGAGTTTCTATGGTAATACCCTAGCATGCGTACTTTCTCATGGCTCATGTCATGGCTACTTCAGATAGACTATCCGTGCATATGGGACATCAGGTTATGGGTGGTGATCTTTTCAGAATGGTCAGCATGGCTTGTTAGCCAATATGCCGAACGAGACCTTTCATAATTTCGTCATTGTCCCGCGCACTGAGTCCATACCAAAGTATTCAGGTGTGAAATCACAAAAGAACCGATCGACAAACTATCCTTTTCCATAATGTAGGTTAAATCACATTTTGTTCTCTACAATGCGATTGAAGAAGTGACCGAATTATAGTGAGTTATTCCACGGTAAAGGGACATCAAATTATGGGAGGTGATCTTTTCAGAGTAGTCGGCAAGGCCATAAGGCGAATATGCTGAACGAGACCTTATGGTAACGTCATCGTCTCCACTTCGTCAGCGTTCGTGAGTTCAGAAACCAACATAATCTTGAAGCCTACATAGTTCTCATGTGGGTATTGTAAAAAGACATCAGACAAAGGGTAGTAATGTCCTCAGAATGGCCACCAGGACTTGTGATCTAATTTACAAAAGGAGACCATTCGTAGCGTTGTTATTTCTTAATCTCATTATTTCCCGGACGCGCAAAGACATTGACACATATCTTAAACCCTAAACCCTAAACCCTAAACCCAAACTAGTGTTAAGTGCTGAGGACCATCAAATTCTGGGTGGGGATCTAGACAGACTGGTTGGCATGTACTAAAGCCAATACGCCTAAGGGGATCACTCGTGGAGTCTACATTTTCCCACCATTCGTTCAATGAATGAACATTCAGCACATTTAACGCCAACAATTAATCAGAACAGAAACGACTCGAAAAAACGTTGTCGAAAAAGAGCTTGAGAAATTACATCCTTCCCTCCAAGAGGATCAAGCCCAACAACCACATAAACACAAGAACCAAAATGAGAGAGAGATCACGTCCACGTACGAGATTTTCCACCCGATTTCTTGGCCTTAGCAGCGAGACCTCGAACACCAACTCCTAAAACGTGAGAAAATACACCGTTCTCTGCGACTGAAGTATCACGTCTCCAACCCCAGGGCCAATCCGCCCCTCTCGGAAGCGAAAAACCCGATCGGCCCAACAAAGCAAGGGAAACCGACCCAACAACTTCAAAATCCTTCGAACAGAGTTCCTCCTGCGCGGAGCCCAACTGATCAATGTGAGCCACCTCGGCACAAAAAGCAGGTCCCGAAGAAGGAAACCGAGAAGTGAGAGGTGGTAGAGTCCGGGCGGCAAAGCCCAACAGGGAATGGCGAAGGCTTCGCAGCCGTCGCGTGGAAGCAGCAGCAGCCATGGCCTGCGAGGGGGCGAGAACTCACGCCACTGCAATAGCGCCCTGCTTAGAGCTTGCCGCAAACTTCATAGTGGAAAAATTGGCACTTCGGAGGCCGTCCGATGGACAACGAACTGGACGGTCTCGATGGGGCGTTCATCGTTGGATGAAATTAGGTCGCGTGAGATTTGGAAATGCCATCCATTGGCCATTTATCATCCGCTTTGTGGTGGTAGCTTGTGATTACTAATGATTTTTTTTTTTTTTTTTTTTTTTTTTTAAAGAATGTGAAGTGTTTGCTGTTGCTTATGATGGTTGAAGTTGGTTCATTCAAATATGACTGATTAATTATTATTCCTGTTATTATGTTTTTGAGATCATACGCAAGGTCATATAATTTATGGTGCTCTTGAGGTTTTAAAGTAAATTAGATATTGGTCTCCTGTCCGGATTAGACACTAACACTGATCCCACAGTAATTTATGTTAAAAATCTGGCACCAAGGGAGATAAAGAAATTACAGAAACAGCGGTCGATAGGATATTTATTCATGAGCACTAACAATATACATGTTACTGTTTCAAAACAGGCTGTTCTAAAATATGAAGTCTTACACAAGCTTCGAAGTTGTTACTTGGGCAAACGTTAGAAGTAAACACATTCTTTGGGTCTATGAAGTATGATCCTCATTTACATCCACTTTTCAATTTACGTTTACACCCACATTCAACTTCAATAACAAACATGGAGAAGAAACTGACACTGAAAAAAGACTCAAGTAAATACCCGATAAAGCGCAGTTGAATAACAAGTGCAAATGTTTCCCATATCTTATCATACAGCATTCATACTGGAGCCATCACATTTTGTAAGCACCGGCATTGAAACGCTTTTTACTGCTTGCTTGTGTCGACGTAGAACACGAATTCATCTGCACTTGTGAAGACCGGGTGACACCAGCTTTGCAAACTGCAAACCTCATGTTCTGGTGGTGAGGTGCCGATCAGGCACTTGCAGTGAGAAGTTGGGTAACATCAACGACACCGAGACGTTGCAGCATTCAAATTGGTAATATTGTTGGAAACAACAATGACAAGGCTTGAAGATAGTAGCACAGCGAAGAGCACAGCGAAGATACTCTTTTAGGGGGTCCGCCACTAGGCAATGTCATTCATAGAGCTTGGCGATTACAAATCACCAAATTCTTTCTCGAAGTGATCCCACACGTAGTCGCCAATCTGCAAAGCATCCAGAGGGTTTAGAGCGGTTGCAGTGGTGGAGTGAGCGATGGTTAAGAGTTGCCATTGAGCACACGATGATCGACATAAAGACTAGGAGATGAGAGGGCATAAAGAGCTCAGAGAATGCTTACATCGACTCCCAGTTTTATGCCGTCTTCGACAGCTTTTCGAAAATGGACTCCTCCATAGATTCTGCAAGTACTCGGGAACACGCATAAAGTTTCAATGCTCCAAAAGCTTTTAATTCACGATGCTGATTTCAATCAATTCAAACAAGTTGACCAAAAGAGTTCAAGTAAATATGTTTTGATCGAACGCATGCAACAGACCTACTCACTCCAACTTCCACCGCAGCTGCTTCAAGCGTATTGTAAGTGCGTAATGGCAGCGGATACCCCTCAGTAGCGACAGAATAGGAGGAAATGTGTTGAGAGATGCCGACGCTCAAGTATCTGGCGAGCACTTTCGCCCAGGATCCTGCAGCAGTCGAGTGTGTACTCGGATACTCTGGGTGTGGGGGGGTTCGAAGGAAAGGAGTGAAAACAATCGGCTGGTGGCTGGAGTCTCCTTGACTGCAAGCTCAGAGGATGCAAAGATGTCGTCAACAGAACAGGACGAACGTTTACGGTCGATGTATCTGTGCAAATTATGGCGGAAATAGTGAGCAGAAGCACACCCAACTTTGGAAGTATTTAAAAGAAATCATCGCAATTAAGATTGGTCTCCGTCAGACAGCGAAAATTGAAGTGGAAGAGGGAGTTGTAACTCTTACTTGCGCCGGCCTCCCAAAACTTTGCCGTCTCCTTGAAAAAATCTGTGAATGACGACGAGTTCGAGTTGCCAACGATTGCGATCTCCTCGTAGTCAGTATTGTACTTGGAGCTGGGGATTGCATATGGGCCACCATTTGTGTCGAACTTAGCAACGGATTTGATGACGAAGGGACGAGGCTTGCCCTGTTGAGGGTGCAGGACGAACGTTTGATTTGGGGTGAATTGGTACTATCCAGTGGGACCTCCGGCAGGTGACGGAACGAACTTAATCCACTGCTGACTACCGTCATGTGTCCTGAACAATCATTCTCAAATGCGGCGGTGGAAATTTTAGCACACGAGTGATTCCATTGGAACGCGTTGAAGCTCTCAACCTTCAGGATAATGAAATCAATGTAAGCCTCAGGAGAAAGGGATCACTACCTTTTTTTCAGGAGAGATTTGGCAAATTGGAGGCCAATCTTGCGAATAGCCGCATCCTCTTCTTCTGTCAATTCCAGTGGAGTGATCTGCTTATCGATGAGGCCATCGAAGCTTGTGGACTGTTGCGTCGGGAAAATTCTGCACAAAACCAAACACCAATCCAGACAAAACTACGACCTCAGATCGCAACGAGGCGTTGTCCGAGATCGACTAAAACACAAACGACCAATCTCCGAGTGCTCCATGGCCCATTCTGAATTCAATAAGGAGAGGCGATGAGTAGGCTCACTCCGACAGCACATAATGGCCTGCATCCTCAGCAGCAGCCTCTAGATGCGAGTCACCGATCTTGTACTCGAGTTGGAGGGCTTTGTACTGCCACACGTGAAGCAGGGTGTAAGTCCGGGACGCAATTTGGTTAAGTACGCCGAGAGTCCTCACAACCTGTACATCAACAACAAAGCAAATTAAATTAAGTAATCAATTCAGCATTGAACTCACTGCCTCAGTATGGATCGAAACGGATTGAAGGTTTACTTGATATGAAGGTCTGGATCTAGGACATGCATGCAATTCTAGCTTTAGACGACGTCGACTTATTGTGTTTCTTTGCTGAGTTACATCATTGGTGCACTAGTATTGTGCTTTTGTGCTCTGAATTTTTTAAGAGGTTTTCTTATAGTGATAAGAAGATATTTGTGAGATTAGAAGTGTTCTTATGAGAGTTGAGAGTGATTAAAGAGTGAAATCACTTGTTTATTTATAAAAGAGGCATTTTAGGTTTCTAAGGCAGTAAGACCTTCTTATTTATTTGGTGAGTCTATCTTCTCTTTCTATTGATTTTATTTGATAATCTTTTTTATTAGACATGGCTTCAAATAAGGGTGAGGGTTTGAGAAGTTAAAATTGACAATTTCTACCACTAGAAGAAGAAAATGGAGCTTTTGTTGGCTTCATTAGACCTTCGAGACATTGTTGATGAAAGTGAAGAGCCTCCAAGTGATGATGCTAATGTTAAGGTGAAGAAAGAATACAAATGTTGTGAAAGAAAGGCTTTTGTCATGATTGTATCAAATTTGTATGATGCCAACTTTTCACATGTAATTGCTTAGAATGGAGTAGCAAAAGCATGAAAGACTCTTTACAACATTTGTAAGAGTAGAAATCTTACCAACATTCTATAGACAAAAAGGAAGTTCTTAACAATAAAGATGGAAGAAGAAGATGATTTCATGGCTCATGTCAACAAGATAAAAGTACTTGTAAACCAACTAGTAATTGTTGACAAGATAATTGATGATAAAGACATTGTGTTGATATTACTCATGAACTTTTCCTAGTCCTACAACTACCTCATTGGAGTCTATTAACATAAAGGAACTTATTATGCATTATGTCACATCAAGATTTGTCCATAAAGTGATTAAGAAGAAAGAAAAAAGCTTCAAAGTGATGATTGGACTCTATTTTCAAGACAAGGCAAAAGTAGCTATTTTTATTAATATGATAATTCAAAAAAAAACATGAAAAATTACTATATTTGTGAAAAACCATGTCACTTTATTAGAAATTACTACAAAGCCAAGAAAAGAAATAAGAAGAATACAAACAATACAAGTGATAGTTTTGGTAGAGATGATTATGCTTTCATGGCAAGTAAAAGAGCCTCCATGGCTATCATGTCCAAGTGGATTATAGATTCGTATACTACTAAGTACATGACACCATATAAGTATCTATTTGGCACTTATGAAAAAATTTCAGTAACAAATGTTTGGTTAGGAGACAATGGTATCGTGTAAGCTATTAAAATTGGCTCTATTGTAGTAGAGATCATTGTGAAGGACCAAATGAAGAGAATTAGATTCAAGAAAGTCTTACATATGCCAAAGATGTTGAAGAACCTCATTTCGGTGAGCAAACTTGTATCACATGGTGGTGAGGTTTAATTTGATATAAATGGATGTTTTGTGAAGATATTGAGTAGACAACATGTTGCCAAAGGCCTAGGAGATGGCAACCTCTACTTCATCAATTGTAAGAAGGTGAATGGAGTTAAAGTTATAATATCTACTCAAGTTCCACAAAATCAAGAAAAAATTAGAATTTGGCATCAACAACTTGATCATTTGAATGCCAAAAACATGAAAGAAATTCAATCTATGGTAAGTGGCTTAAATCTTGATCAATTTAGCCACAATTCCATAATACTTACTTGTTAAGGTTGTATTCAAGGCAAACAACAAAAGGCTTCATTTTCAAGAATAGTTGCAATATGTGCTACCAAATTGTTAGAAATTATGCATTCTAATATTTGTTGATCAATGAAAATGCCATCAATTAGAGGAGTAAGATATTTTATGATATTTATTGATGATTTTTCTAGAAAGATGTGGATTTATATCTTTAAAGCTAAAAATAGATATATTTTTAAGGTTTAAAGAGTTTAAGACACTTACAAAAAAATAATGTAAGTGCAAGATCAAAGTATTGCATATTGTCAAGGACATGAATTGGAAGATAATACATAAACCAATGAAATCCGTATCAAAGAAAAAGTGACAAAATAGAAATAAAGAAGTATACATATTAAAAAGAAATTAGAATGGCTTATTGCCAAAAGACAAGAAAACTTGAGACTCTTCAAATTGAACTAGAAGCAAGAAAAGAGTTGACAAGAGTGAAGAAGGCTTCACTCTTGTCTCTATATACACTATCGAATTAGGAGCTACATGGCAATATTCTATAGGACTTCCAATATGTGTTGATTTTGTAGGACACATGCCTTGATTTATAAGGCAAGTTTTTTTTATATGTATACTATATAGTTAGCTTATTCTTCAAGCTATCAACATGTGTGGCACATGGTTAATTTGTTGACTAACTTTTTAATTTAAAAGTCATTAATAGATACATATAAAATTAAATCAGTGTCTATGAAGCTTTTAGGAAGCTTCTTTAGAAGATATTATAGAATTAACTTACTTTTACTTATTTCTATCTATTTCTACCTATTTATATAGATAGTTATCAGCTTACATGTATATGTCTGTGACATTACCCCTTCTTTTAGAAATGAATTCTATGTGGAGTGGTTATCATATGTTGAAAAAATCTATGATGTGGCAAATTATATTTATCACATACTTAGATCTTTGTTCTCTTTGAAGATGCTTCATAGGACCTTTCAACCATCGATAGTGTCCCATACCAAGACAAAAAGACCACCCTCTTATTTTGTCATTGTTGAGGCCTTTATAACTTCTTTTAAATAAAACATTTAAAACATCATCAAGAGTTGTTTCTACCTCTAATAAAATTAGCAAACATCAGAAGTCTCTTCAAAGGTTGTGATACTAAACAAGTTATATCTCACCATCTATTCGAGGAAAAATATATTGTTTTTGAGGATCTTTATCTTGATTGGATCATCTTGAAGGTTGTGACAATGACAATGTCTTATCTAACAGATCAATAAATGAAGGCTCTTCAATCAAATCCAGTGGTTGTTAGTTCTCCATCTCCTCAGCATGACAAATACAAAAAAATTACAAACAAGGATTGAAAGTGTAATGTTATCTTGCCTAGATGTTATTTATTTTATAAGAAAGGTCTTCATCTTAATTTTGATGGATGTTGTTGATGAAAAGCCTCTACTTTCTTTATTGCATTTACAAGATTCTTTGCTAGCTCCCATGTGCATTCACTAATAATGTATCCGTGCCAATGAATAAGATATTTCAACTTATCTTAGGGTCACCTTAAATCTAAGACTTCTTCTACTTCAAATTCTTCATTATTATCCACTTCTATAGCAAGAGGTGGTACTTGTCTTCTTCTTGGTAAGTCTACTATCTTGTATGGTTCAAGAAGAGACACATGGAATATTAGATAGATTTTCATTGATTTTGGTAGGTATAAATAATATGCAACAACATTGATTTGTGCAGAAATAGGAAATGGTCCAAATCTATGATAGTCCAACTTGTCACAAAGACGAGTTGTCTTGATATTTTGATGAAATAATCATACCTTATCACACACGTGGAATGGTGGTTGTTCCTTTTGATAGACATCTGTATTGATCTTTTGTTGGTCTTTAGCTTTTTTTAACTATACCTTCATTATTACATATAGATCTCACAAACGATTTGTCAAATCTTTCGCAGCAAGATTATCAGCTTTTGAAAAGTCAAAAGTATTAAGTCATGGATGATAACCATAATTGGCAAAGCAAGGTGTTTGTTTTGTAGAAGAATGTATTGTATTATTATTGATAAACTTTACCAATGGCAAAAGAGTTGTCCAATCATCTTGTTAGTAGTTGATGGTACATCTTAAATACTACTCCAAAACTTGATTAACACGCTTTGTTTGTCCATTAGTTTGAAGATGGAATGCCAAAGATAGTTTTATATCTACTTTTAGAATCTTGAAAAGAGTCTGCCAAAATCTTGATACAAATTGAGTTCCTCTATTTGATATGATATCCTTGGATAATCTATGATAGTGATAGATGTTGTTAAGAAAGAGTTTAGCTATTTCTTTACTTATGATAGATTTTGTACATAATACAAAATGTGCCATCTTAGTAAAATAATCTACTATCACGAATATAGATTTATAAGAACTTGAGATTCAAAGATCCATTGTCGTATCACATGATTTGCTATCTAGGAATACACTAGATATCTAGCTATAGAGAATTTAGCTTAAACTTTTATATGTATCTTGTCTTAGCTTTCAAAACTTCTTTAATTTGCATAAAATTCAAAATATAGCAAAATCCCTTCAAAACATATTTTTTCCGTGAAGGGTTTTTTCTTCTTGAACTTTAAAAATTCATAATTCTTGATCTAACCATTCAATTTATTTCAAATTTATAAAGTAGGTAGAATTTATCCTTAAGTTTTACTACAAAAAAAAATCCAACCACAAATTCACTTCCGATCTTTTGACATCTAAGAAATCCTAGCAGATACTCTAACCTTAAATTGCAAGCATCTGAGTACTATTTTCTTAATATCTGAAAAATCCAATATTCAAATGCCATTAAACTTATGTATAAAGTTTATTAACATGAATATACACATTTTCTGAAAATTTGAGCCAAAACTTTATCAAATTGCTCAAGATATAGCTCAAGATAAAACTACTAGTAAATCAGGTCACTTACTATCCTTAGATTTCATGCATTGACTTCAAAATTCAATATCTCCTTCATCTTAACTTGGAATCCAGTAACTAGCATATAAAAAATATAACCGCAAAAGTGCTCTCTTTAGTTGCAATTGCCGATCCTCAATTGCCTTCCATATGCTTGTGTTATATTGAAAAGAGTGACAGTAGCTCTCAAATCAACACCTTAACTTTGAGCACCTAT